CCGAGCCTCGCACACTCGCCCAACTCTAGACCGAGCCTCGCACACTCGCCCAACTCTAGACCGAGCCTCGCACACTCGCCCAACTCTAGACCGAGCCTCGCACAAATCGCCCAACTCTAGACCGAGCCTCGCACACTCGCCCAACTCTAGACCGAGCCTCGCACACTCGCCCAACTCTAGACCGAGCCTCGCACACTCGCCCAACTCTAGACCGAGCTCGCACACTCGCCCAACTCTAGACCGAGCCTCGCACACTCGCCCAACTCTAGACCGAGCCTCGCACACTCGCCCAACTCTAGACCGAGCCTCGCACACTCGCCCAACTCTAGACCGAGCCTCGCACACTCGCCCAACTCTAGACCGACCTCCACCTGCCCAACTCTAGACCGAGCCTCGCATCGTCCTCGCCCAACTCTAGACCGAGCCTCGCACACTCGCCCAACTCTAGACCGAGCCTCGCACACTCGCCCAACTCTAGACCGAGCCTCGCACACTCGCCCAACTCTAGACCGAGCCTCGCACACTCGCCCAACTCTAGACGAGCCTCGCACACTCGCCCAACTCTAGACCGAGCCTCGCACACTCGCCCAACTCTAGACCGAGCCTCGCACACTCGCCCAACTCTAGACCGAGCCTCCACACTCGCCCAACTCTAGACCGAGCCCTCACAACACTCGCCCAAAATCTAGACCGAGCCTCACACACTCGCCCAACTCTAGACCGAGCCTCACACACTCGCCCAACTCTAGACCGAGCCTCACACACTCGCCCAACTCTAGACCGAGCCTCACACACTCGCCCAACTCTAGACCGAGCCTCACACACTCGCCCAACTCTAGACCGAGCCTCACACACTCGCCCAACTCTAGACCGAGCCTCACACACTCGCCCAACTCTAGACCGAGCCTCACACACTCGCCCAACTCTAGACCGAGCCTCACACACTCGCCCAACTCTAGACCGAGCTCACACACTCGCCCAACTCTAGACCGAGCCTCACACACTCGCCCAACTCTAGACCGAGCCTCACACACTCGCCCAACTCTAGACCGAGCCTCACACACTCGCCCAACTCTAGACCGAGCCTCACACACTCGCCAACTCTAGACCGAGCCTCACACACTCGCCCAACTCTAGACCGAGCCTCACACACACGCCCAACTCTAGACCGAGCCTCACACACACGCCCAACTCTAGACCGAGCCTCACACACTCGCCCAACTCTAGACCGAGCACTCACACACTCGCCCAACTCTAGACCGAGCCTCACACACTCGCCAACTCTAGACCGAGCCTCACACACTCGCCCAACTCTAGACCGAGCCTCACACACTCGCCCAACTCTAGACCGAGCCTCACACACTCGCCCAACTCTAGACCGAGCCTCACACACTCGCCCCAACTCTAGACCGAGCCTCACACACTCGCCCAACTCTAGACCGAGCCTCACACACTCGCCCAACTCTAGACCGAGCCTCACACACTCGCCCAACTCTAGACCGAGCCTCACACACTCGCCCAACTCTAGACCGAGCCTCACACACTCGCCCAACTCTAGACCGAGCCTCACACACTCGCCCAACTCTAGACCGAGCCTCACACACTCACCCAACTCTAGACCGAGCCTCACACACTCACCCAACTCTAGACCGAGCCTCACACACTCACCCAACTCTAGACCGAGCCTCACAACACTCTCACCCAACTTCTAGACCGAGCCTCACACACTCACCCACCTAGACGAGCCACCAACAACTCTAGACCGAGCCTCACACACTCACCCAACTCTAGACCGAGCCTCACACACTCACCCAACTCTAGACCGAGCCTCACACACTCACACCAACTCTAGACCGAGCCTCACGCACTCACCAACTCTAGACCGAGCCTCACGCACTCACCCAACTCTAGACCGAGCCTCACGCACTCACCCAACTCTAGACCCACCTCACCACTCACCCAACTCTAGACCGAGCCTCACGCACTCACCCAACTCTAGACCGAGCCTCACGCACTCACCCAACTCTAGACCGAGCCTCACGCACTCACCCAACTCTAGACCGAGCCTCACGCACTCACCCAACTCTAGACCGAGCCCTCCCCACCGCACCCCACCCAACTCTAGACCGAGCCTCACGCACTCACCCAACTCTAGACCGAGCCTCACGCACTCACCCAACTCTAGACCGAGCCTCACGCACCACCCAACCTCTAGACCGAGCCTCACGCACTCACCCAACTCTAGACCGAGCCTCACGCACTCAACCCAACTCTAGACCGAGCCTCACGCACTCACCCAACTCTAGACCGAGCCTCACGCACTCACCCAACTCTAGACCGAGCCTCACGCACTCACCCAACTCTAGACGAGCCTCACGCACTCACCCAACTCTAGACCGAGCCTTTACGCACTCACCCAACTCTAGACCGAGCCTCACGCACTCACCCAACTCTAGACCGAGCCTCACGCACTCACCCAACTCTAGACCGAGCCTCACGCACTCACCCAACTCTAGACCGAGCCTCAACGCACTCACCCAACTCTAGACTGAGCCTCACGCACTCACCCAACTCTAGACTGAGCCTCACGCACTCACCCAACTCTAGACTGAGCCTCACGCACTCACCCAACTCTAGACTGAGCCTCACGCACTCACCCAACTCTAGACTGAGCCTCACGCACTCACCCAACCCCTAGACTGAGCCTCACGCACTCACCCAACTCTAGACTGAGCCTCACACACTCACCCAACTCTAGACTGAGCTCACACACTCACCCAACTCTAGACTGAGCCTCACACACTCACCCAACTCTAGACTGAGCCTCACACACTCACCCAACTCTAGACTGAGCCTCACACACTCACCCAACTCTAGACTGAGCCTCACACACTCACCCAACTCTAGACTGAGCCTCACACACTCACCCAACTCTAGACTGAGCCTCACACAC